CACACTTGGACCGTGTCCTTCTCAAGCCCAAGCTGCTATGCGATGTGGCTGATCTGCTGCAGTGTGGGTTTCACGCACTTATGTTGAGATGGATTCTGAGGCTATATTTAGGATGAGCAGGAAAGAGCACTGTCATTAATTAATGATATCCATCATGGAAGTGGGATGGGAGCATGAGGTCACACTGTAATATTTAGGAATTTAGTTTAGCTGTAATAAAATTGGAAAAAGCAGTGGCTTAAACATATTACCAGTTTTATATATCTTTTTTAGTCCAGGGTTGGTTTGGCAAATCCACAACATCCTCAGGTAGCCAGGCCCTTCTATCTCCCCTTCATCTAGCTATCTTTAGCATGTGCTTGCTTCTTTGTAGGCACAAGATGGCTGCTCAAACTCCAGTACTGCATTTGAGTTCCAGAAGTAAAGTAAGGGTGAAGGGCAAAAGGCACAGGTCAGCTAAATTGGCCTTCCATTTTAAGCAGCATTCTCAGAAGCTCCATCCAACAACTTCCACTTACATTTCATCGGCCAGAACTGCATAATATGGTCACATCCTTCATCTACACAGAGTGTTGAGAGATGTAGTTTTTAGCTAGGCATATTTATATTCCCAACAAAACCAGTGTTCTCTTACTTATGACCAGGGAGAATCCACATTAGGACGGCCTCTAGCAGTTTAGTCTACCATTCATGTCCTATAAATAGGTATCCTTCAGCTTTACCGAACCAGCAAGAACTCCACTGCCCCCCCGCCTCCCCCCACTCCCATGCGTGCACACACACATACACACACACACAGAAGCAGCATTGCTCTTGTGCAAAAGGTTGATAGCAAGTGTGGGCCTCTAAACCATGTAAAAGATGAACGTGATGGGCCGGCCTGGTGGTGCAACTGGTTAAGTGCGCGCTCTCCGCTGCAGTGGCCCGGGGTTCACCAGTTCGGATCCCGGGCGCGCACTGACGCACTGCTTGGCAAGCCATGCTGTGGCGGTGTCCCATATAAAGTAGAGAAAGATAGGCATGGATGTTAGCCAAGGGCCAGTCTTCCTCAGCAAAAAAAGAGGAGGATTGGCAGATATTAGCTCAGGGCCAATCTTCCTCACAAAATAAATAAATAAAAGATGAACGTGGGAGAGGCAAATCTATCACTCCAGAGTTTTGCTAGTGAAATTGGTCTTAACATTTTATCATAAATTTTGCATTATACTCTCTTTTATTCTGGAACATTACAATACTTGGCTTCAATGTAAATCTCAGGAGTGCTGATATCACTGTGAAACATCTTGTAATTCTTAAAAGACTGGACTACAAAGCTAGACAGACCTGGGTTGGGATCACAGATCCACATTTACTAGCAGTATACTTTGAGCAAGACATTCAACCTCTCTATGCCTCAGTTTCTTCATTTGTAAACTGTGGATAATAATTTTTACAGGTAGGGTGATCACATAATTTATGTCCAAACTGGGAAACTTATGTGCTGGAAAGGGGATACTACTACTAATTATGCTTGAACAAGTGGCATAAGCCAGGACCATCCCAGGCAAACCCAGGACTATGGGCACTCTACTTACAGGCTTTGTTTAGAGGATTAAGTGAGAAAATAGTATACAGCACTTAGCACAGAGCCTGACATTCAGTAAGTGCTCAGAAAATACTAGCCACTACTTGTTTTTATTACTGAATTGAAAAGTTACATTGTTTGAGCTTTGCTTTTCTCTCTTTTAACAATAACATGCTTGATATTCTTCCTTATGATGGAGAATAGTGAGCTAAAATTAAAAGAGCTTAAATTTTTCCAAGACTGAGAAAAACCCAATTGAAAGTCAACCAACCAACCTCCCTAAACGAAGAACAATGTTGAAAGACCACTGCAGAAATTCCTAGTTATGAGGACGATTCTGGAATGACAGTGCATGACCTATCTGTGAACTGTTTGTATCCGTAGAAGCATGAAGGGGAGAACCGGAATTTCAACCATTTTGTATAGCATTTCTCAAAGGTTTTGGTCTGAGAATCCCTTTACACGCTTAAAAATTTCTGAGGACCACAAAGAGCTTTCATTTATATGAGTTATATCTATTACTATTGGTTTAACATAATTGAAAGTGATTCTCATATCTGCCTTTTTATGCAATCTGTTGCAATATGTTGTTTTGGTGAAAATATATGAACAAGATATGTTGTTGGAAAAGGGAGGGAGTATTTTAATAGCCTTTTCATATAATTCTGGTTATTCTTTGATACGACACCAAAACTGCACAGCAGTTTCTTAAAGGTTAGTTGTAAAATGGCATCTGAAATCATATCTATGAACTTTTTGGACTGTTACATTAAAATCCACCAGTCTGTTTTGCACTTTAAATGAATCTTTTACTCATGATTTTGTAACGTCATCCACTAGTCATTTGGAAAATATTGGTTCACTGAATTATGCAGCTATTCCAAATGTTTACACATTTCAGAAACCTAATAGCTTAGAACATTCTAGAAAACATATGAACACACAAGAGCACATTCCATTAGCCATCAAAACGATGATATCATCACATGTCACGTTGCCTCTGGAAAACTCCACTGTACATTCATGAAAGGATGAGAGTGATAAAGACAAATCATGTCATTATCATTATGAAAATAGTTTGACTGCATTACACGATCCATTGAAAAGGTTTTAGTCTCAGGCCACAGTATAAGAACAGTTGATATGGAGTGATACAACCTATTAGATAAAGAAAGCAAAAAACTTACCACCTCCTTTTTTTTTTCCAACCGGGAGACAATAAATTATAACACACAAACATGGAAATACTAAAATATAGTCCCAAGAGGCAATTTCACCTCTTGATATGAAGGCAAGCACACAAGTTTATATAAACAGATGGCTTCTAATATAAAGGTCTTTCTCATTTTTTGGAGTTTGAACCCTATTAATTATTCGTATTTCAATGCATGTGGCAAGGTATCTTTGGGGAGCTCAAAATCCTTCATTTCTTCCTCTGCCCCTCATTCTCCCTAAGATAGACTCTTTGCGGAAAGACATGGGTGGCAGAATCCCACTAATAATATTTTAGTACACCTTTTCTATGTCCAACCTGTCCTGGAAGCTATCCATTTACTATGAATCAAGTTGTCTGTGCAAGTATAGGATAGAAGGTGACATTCTCAAGTAAATTGGGTATAGATGTGAGGAACTGCTAGATAAACCTCTTATTTTGCTCTCCTTGTTCTGTTACTCCAGGTTTTGCAAAGTAGGATGATGGGGCAGCTTGATCCTATTTTTTGGAAAAAGCCATTCGCTAACAGGTCTTCAGCAGGCGGCTCGCTATAGGATCTTCCCTGAGCAATGCTGCCAAAGAGAAATTCGTTTCAGGCACCCTGCCCGTTACTTTTCTTTTCAGTTTCCCAATGCCCTTACCACTTCCTTCTGGCTGCATGGTAGGCCCCACCGCGTGGCCCACCCAGGCCTATCCTCCTGGGCCTTCCTCTGACTTCAAGATTACCTATTCCTTTGCTTCCTCCTTTATCCTTCAGCAAACACACACGCTTTGTATTCATTCTTTCAGTGAAATCTGATTTTAGCTTAGATCAGTCCAGTCTGAAAAACAGTGTTAGTGGATGTCAAGCCAATTAAAATTATTTACACTAAAGCATGAATGATGGATGGATACCAAGTGTTTAAGAACTAAGAACCAACTGATGGTCTGAACAAATAAACTTGAAAAGGGGTGACTACTTGTAGCCATTGACTGGACTGCTTAGCTTTTCTTTTCAACCATATTAAAACCCAATAAGCAATTTAGATTTTAATCTAATTATCCTAAGTGCCCAGTCTATAACTGAAAGGCAAGCCTGATAAGGCAAGCCTGATAAGGCAAGAAATGAGACGTGAGGTCGCTGAATGGTTACGTTTCACAGCCCTACAGGTTTAGATATTAAGGTGAAAGTGGGTGAAATGCCAAAAGGGCAGCCCTCATTTGAGCAAGATGTTTTGACTTCAAGGCTGCTAGTAATAATTCTGGGATTTTCAGTAGTCCCTTTGACGTTTCATGTATTCCCCAGATTAATTTAAGGCTGCTTTTTTTTAAAGTAAACTTCAGTGTTATCGAAGCTCCAGACTGTGATTCCCGTGTATTTTTAGGTTAAGATGGGGCCTCGAACTTGGGTGTACGTGAGACAGTCTAAGCTAATACCACCTCCGCCCTCTTTTGCACGGTGCCCTCTCTTCTCTCGCAGCTGTTCCAAATCCGGAGTTCGGCGGCGAGTACATGAGGGGTGACGACTCGGCCCAGAAGGCCACTAACGGCATTATTCCTGAGTCTCCTTGCTCTTGCCGTGACCTTTCAACAGGCAGGCGGTGTGACGCCTGCGAAGAGCCGGAGCCGGCATCGCACTCTGGCCGCAAGCAACAGGCACCACCGCCGTGCCATCACTACAAGAGTCTCAAGCGACGACAGTAGGCGGTGCACGAATCTCTTTTTCTTTAACCCTTCTTCACACACAGTCCCACCCTCACCGGAAGTGGAGCGGTCTCTACCTTACGCCACTTCCGGTCCGAACGCCCGTCGCTTGGCGGGAGCGAGCACGCCGGTGCGCGGCAACTTTGTTCCCGCCTCCTTTGCCCCTGACACCACTCACCTTCGGCTTTCTCGGAGCGTGACGTGCGTGCGCGTCCCCGGCCTTGCGTCAGGGCCGAGGGGAAAGGCCGAAGGAGCGAGGCGAGAAGGAGGGGTTGTGTAGGTTAGGGCCCAACCAGCAAGTCCCGTTGCCCTCCCTCCTCCTGACGAGGAGCGAGAGGGAAGGGGAGGAGCGAGCCGGGGCCGGCCGCGCACACTAGGAGCCTCCTCGTGGAGGGGGGGGGGGAGAGCGGAGGAATAGGGCAGCTCCGCCACCTCCGCTCGCGGCGGCGAAGGAAGAAGAAAGTCAGGGCCCCTACTCACCGCCACAGACTCAGAAACGCCCCCCCCCGCCCCCATCTCCCCGGAAACAGACCCCCGCCCAGCCCCGCACACTCGCTGCCCCGACCGTGAGCCGCAGGCCGGTCGCCCCCGCCTTGCCCCGCCCCGCCGCCCGTCCCTGCGGGCCGCAGAGTGCGCGAGGCCCTAGGCCGGGAGTTGTCAGGCCCAGGCCATTTCCGAGGCGCCCGCTTGTGTCGCCGCCACCACAGAGGACGACGTCGACGCGGAGGAGGCGGCGGCGGAGGCGTGTTGTTGTTTCGCCCACTCTCCTTCCCTGAACTCGCACCCAGCGTCGGGGCGCGATGGAGTGAAGCGGCGACGAAGGTGGTACTTCCGCGTTGCGCTGCCCGAGCCGAGAGCGCGGCCGAGGCCGCTCCCCCACCCCGGGGGCACTTGGAGGACTCCGGACTCCCCCGCGGGTCAGCGCCCGGCGCATCTGGTGTTTTTGCTGCTGAGGCTAGAACGACGAGCACGACTCGGAGCTCTGCCGCCCGAATTGCTGCCTCCGTCAGGCCCGGAAGCCGCTGCGGACCCCACTGCGATCTGGAACCCAGGGACCCGAGTCCCGACCCGGATTATCGTGGCGCGGCTCCAGGCCGGCCCTTGTGCTCGGTGTCCCTCCGCCGCCGCCGTTCCCGTTTCCGGCGGGGGAGATGGCCAGGATCTGAGCCGGGAGGAGGCCGCACCCGCGCCGCGCTCTGCGGCGGGCTCTAGGCGATGCCGAGCAGCTCGGACACGGCGCTGGGGGGAGGCGGGGGCCTGAGCTGGGCGGAGAAGAAGTTGGAGGAACGCCGCAAGCGGAGGCGATTCCTGTCCCCTCAGCAGCCGCCGCTGCTGTTGCCGCTCCTGCAGCCGCAGCTCCTGCAACCGCCGCCGCCCCCGCCGCCTCTGCTCTTCCTGGCTGCTCCCGGCACGGCCGCCGCCGCAGCCGCCGCCGCCGCGGCCTCCTCCTCTTGCTTCAGCCGGGCCCCCCCTCTGGAGGTCAAGCGGCTGCCGAGAGGCAAGAGGCGCCCAGGAGGGCGGCAGAAGCGGCGCCGCGGGCCCCGCGCCGGGCAGGAGGCGGAGAAGCGTCGGGTCTTCTCGCTGCCCCAGCCGCAGCAGGACGGCGGTGGCGGTGCCAGTAGCGGCGGGGGTGTGACCCCGCTGGTGGAATACGAGGATGTGAGCTCCCAGTCCGAGCAGGGGCTGCTGCTGGGGGTGGCCAGCGCGGCAACGGCGGCGACGGCTGCCGGGGGAACGGGGGGCAGCGGCGGGAGTCCGGCCTCCTCCTCTGGCACCCAGCGGCGCGGGGAGGGGTCGGAGCGCAGTCCCCGGCGGGCCCGCCGCCGCATCAGCGGCCGCAGCAAGGAGCGGCACCGCGAGCACCGGCGGCGGGACGGGCAGCGCGGCGGCGAGGCCTCCAAGTCCCGCAGCCGCCACAGCCACAGCGGCGAGGAGCGGGCCGAGGCGGCCAAGAGCGGCAGCAGCAGCAGCAGCGGCGGCCGCCGGAAGAGCGCCTCGGCCACGTCCAGCAGCAGCAGCAGCCGCAAAGACCGAGACCCGAAGGCCCACCGGAGCCGGACTAAGTCGTCCAAGGAGCCGCCTTCGGCCTACAAGGAGCCGCCCAAGGCCTACCGGGAGGACAAGAGCGAGCCCAAGGCCTACAGGCGGCGGCAGCGGTCCCTGAGCCCGCTGGGAGGCCGGGACGACAGCCCGGTGTCCCACAGGGCCTCGCAGAGCCTGAGGAGCCGCAAATCCCCCAGCCCGGCAGGAGGTGGCAGCAGCCCCTACTCTCGGCGGCTGCCCCGCTCCCCGAGCCCCTACAGCCGCCGCCGCTCCCCCAGCTACAGCCGCCACAGTTCCTACGAGCGGGGCGGCGACGTGTCCCCCAGCCCCTACAGCAGCAGCAGTTGGCGCCGCTCCCGGAGCCCCTACAGCCCGGTGATCAGGTGAGTCCGCCGGCCTGTGCGTGCGTCTGTGGCTGTGCCGGCCAGATCCCCGGGAGGCAGGGAAAGTGGGGATTGGGTTCTCCCAAACCACCCAAGTCTACTACGGAGGTGAGAAAACCCTGCCTCAGACGGGATGCAAGGAGGGAGGGGCGTTTTTGCGTGCCTGTGGCATCTTTCAGGGGGTCGGAAGGGCAAAGCAACAGGTTCCCTAGAGCTTTGCTCCTCGCTCTGGCAGGGAAGATTCTAAGGAAGAGTTCAGAGTTTCAAACTTGTTGCATTAATATATTAACAAGTTTCTCTCGATTGCTTTTTGCTTTTCCAGCACTCTTACTTTGGGCAAACCTAGAAGTTGTTTAATTTGTCATAATTTTGGAAGCTCTCTGAAGAGGTTTCGTTGTTGGAGACTTAGGAATGGACTGCAGTTTAGGGACTGAATATTGTAAAGGAAAATCAGAATCACGTGCTGATGTCAGAGTTAGATATGGATTGTAAATGCTTCGTGTGATTAATACAGCGATGGGAAAAGCAGCCTGTCTGTAAAGTTTATTCTCTTAGTATGTGACAACAGCTTATGTGGAAGCTTATAGTTCTAAATTCTGAAGATAAGAAAGATGTCCATTTTGTGATGTTCTTGTGTGGAACAGTTTTTTACATGTCTTTCAAAGTCATAATTTTGAAAAGTAGCAAAAAATGACAAGATTGTGGTTTCTGTGTTGCTTTGTGATGACACCCAGTTGCTAATAACATAAATATAATCTAGTTGTAATCCAGTGTCACCAAGTGAGTGGTTTGGTATGTTCTTACACTATTACGCTATTTACTATTACTTTAAGTTACTATTTACGCTTACTTTAAAGTTAACTAGACCTTAACGTATCAGAATGTTTGTTCAGAAATCTTTAGAAGGTGTAACTTACTGTAGTATTGGAGTAAATCTGTTATGTAGCTGTTATGCCTTGCTTATTATATAATACTCGTAAAAAAAGTATGTGCATTGATATATACTTATCTGTTAAGCCAAGTGAATTAAAAGTACCTTTTGAGTATTTTGCAGGTTTTTATATTCCTTGAGATGTTTGGAAACTCTAGTCCTTATAGTTGAGGGTATTGCAAAGTTTGCATTGGTTGTTTTTCCTGTTGGTCTTAGTTTTCGGTAATGCCTAGCTGATGCTGAGTACCTCTAACTGTGAGTTATGTTGAATCTCAATGCAATATATGTACCTGTAAAATCAGTAGATTTCTTTGAAGTGTCGGCCTAGTAAATGTAAAGATGTGATGCAAGTAGAGATCTAGGTGTGCGTTTGCCTTTAAACCAAAACAGCTGTATAAATCTCTTCGTTCTTAAATGCTGGTTGATGCCTTGTGTAAAGACGATCAACAATGAAAACTCATTTCACTAAATTTAGCCTTTATGTCTTATAAGACCATATATTTTACTTTTAGTTAAAGTATTTTAGGTTTGCCGAGAGGTTTGCATTTTTTGCCATTGAATTTGTTTTTGATAACTGGTGGGGTTGTTTCAGGACTTTAGATAGCAATTTTAATTATAGTGCTATGTGTTTTATATATATTATGTAGTAGTGGCATGTATAATTAGGATTATTCAAATTTAGCAAATATTTATTGAGCACATATGCTGGATACTGTTTTAGAGACTGGAATATAGCAGTGAAGAAAGACAAGGCCCTTGCCCTCAGGAAGCTTGCATTCTAGAGGACCATTCCTTACTGAATCTTTTCATGGTGATATATTGACCACCAGTATTTCTAAAGGGTTGGATTTGGAAGAAGCTTTAGAATATCTTGGTATTCTTGACAGCTGGCCATTTGGTGTGTGCCTGAATACACCTAGAGGTGGGAAGACATTACTTTGAGACAGCCTGTTCCATTAGATTTGGGCCTTGAGTTCTGGTCCTTGTTTACTCAGTGTTTTTAAGCAAGACCCTTGGAGACTCAGTTTCCTAAACTTCAAATACTTGCTTTTTTTTTATTATTATTATTTCAAGGATTAAATGAAAATTTGTATTTTGTAAAGTATACAAACGTTATAGAGTATAGAGAAATGTAACGTGGTTGAATTATCATTGACTTGTTAGAATTCTTCATGTTGAAACAGAAAACTGCCTCCGTGTAACTTCTACCCATTGCTTTAAGTTTAATCCTTTGGCATGATACAGAGCAAACCTGTATGCTACCTCTTTAAAATGTAAAGATAGTTGCTGTGTCTTCTGAGTCTTCTCTGGGCCAAAAAACTCATTTTTCAAAAGGTATGGTTTTTAGATTTTTTACATTACGTCTGGTTTGGCAAATGTCCTGCTTAAAATGTGGGGCCCGGAATTTACAGCTAAAATAGTTGATTGAAAGACGTAAGATTTTTAAATATAGCAAATGTATTATTACTGTTTAGGAACAATTAATTGAACTCACTTGTCTAAATTAATGCAAAAAGTTTTATTACTTTTAGACTTTACTAATTGTGGTAGGTGGCCCATGCTGTTTAGTGAATAGACTACTGTAGTGTGAGCTCCATGAAGGCAACTAGCTTGTCTTGCCCACTGTTGTATTCCTTGTGCTCAGTATCTGGCACAAGTAGACTGTTAATAACCGTTGAATGGGTAAGTGAAGGGATGATGGAGTTTAGTTTACTGACCATATGAAATATTATTGTGGGCTTGGATTACATAAGTATTTAATATAGACTCTGTGTTATGCTGTAGGAAATAACAGTGTGATCTTTTTCCAGCCCACGTAGAGCTTATAAATTAATGAATTGTCAGTGTAGATATTTTTAAGGAAATGCATACACATTCAAAATAGTATTGAAACCATGGTATGAAGATTTTTCTCAGTGTTAAAAGATCCTAGACTAAATCCTCTCCATTCTTTTAACTTCTACCTTACCTGCTCTTTGCCTTCATCTGAATCTTCAGTCCTCTATTCATGCTTTTCTTTTCATCAGTCCCTTCTTAGCTTTACTTTTTCTCCTATATAACCGGTTTACCATATTTTCTTTACTACCTGGCTATTGGAGTGTGGGAAGTCACATAGTTTTGCTGATTGGCCCTATGATAAATGTGAGGGTGTATTGCAGAGAGAGGCTGTTTAGGAAAGGGAGAGAATGGTACTGACATTTGGGTTCTACTATGTGCCAAGCATTGATAAATACTTAGTATACATTCATTGGCAAAACCCATGTGGTAGTTGGAAACTTTTCTGTTGATAGATTGGGAAATGGAAACTCTAGAAAGTTAGTGATTTGTTCCAAGGTCAGTTTGGACGCAAACTCTGGGCTGATTCTGAAGTAGATGCTCTTGATACTATGCTGTATTGAACCTCACCTGGCGTTCAAGGGAGCTGACCACCTCATGTAATGATGTTTTGCTCCAATTCAACTTCTGTTTGGGTATTTATTTACTAATTTCTGTTTCCTGGCCATCTTTGCAGCATTTTGAAAGGAGTCTTAAAAATGAATTCTTTTAGATTCTTTCAGCTCATTTTGTCTTTATTAATTTGTAGGTTTTATGAATATGAGGCAAAAAACATTTCTTGAAGACGTTAATTACCCTTAGTTATTGATGATTATTTTGCAGTGGGCTGTCTTAATCTAAAGTCACTCAAGTCAGGACAGTTACACTCAGTACAATAAATTGTTATACGTAATTGGTTCTCTCTCTGAACCTATAGAAGTTCTATTCCACCAAGAAACAGCAGAAGCCTCCATTATGGAATAATATCAAGACCCAGAGAATCTGAAGATGGATGGACACTAGGTGTAAATAAGTAAATTAATTAGTATTCACTTGCATACGATATGAGGTACCTCTGTCATGGATTACTTAGTGTTTTGTCCTAAAAACTAGTATTCAAAAATCTATAAAATGAAGACATTCCATAATAAAAAAAAAAGCTCTTATCACTCATAAAATGCTACTGATTTGATATGTACTTAATATATATAAGTTATGAGTATCCTTAGATGAATGGAATTCTTAAAATGCTTTTAAAGAGTGTCAAAAATATAGGGTTATAGAATAAATGCAGAAACACTCAGAAGGGATGGGATTTAGGTGAACTATCTTAAGTCTCCAAACCTGTAATCACTCTCTTCATTCTCAGGATGTCTTTGTGTTTTGCTCCTTCTCTGACCATACCTTACCTGACATTTACGTCTACTCAGTCTTGACCACATTTTTGTTCTAACACTAATATTTATCCCATTTCCAATTCTAGCACCTTAGTTCTGGCCCTCATTTTTAATCAGACTTCCTGTTATCATTCTTTTCTTCCCTGTTCATCCGTTCTTTTCTTCTCAATTCATTCTTTATTAGGAGAGTTTTCTTAACATCTTTGTTTGGTTGTATCACTTTCATTATATAGAGTTAAGTCCAAACTTTCTAATGCATCGTCAGGTAGTGCCTTTTATGATCTGGCCCCATTCTATCAGAATTCTATTTTTAGAAGCACTCTTATTTCTCTATATTTTTACTATTGCTGTTCTTTTAGCTTGAAATGCCTTTTTTTCTCTTCTCTGCCTCCATCTTTGCATTCAAAACCCAGCTCAAGTTCCACAGTCTTGAGACCTTTCTCCATTCATCTAGAAAAAGTTAATTCCTACAGCACTTTGCTTTATCTTTGTTACAGAACTTTAAAAATTTTTTAATATTCTAATTATTTGTCTGGCTACATTTGTGCTTTCCCTACTAGATTGTAAGTTCCTAGAGGACAGATTCCAAAGTGTATTTATTAGTGGTTGAACTAATTTAAATAGCATTTTTCTCCACAGATTAATGCACACCAACTTTTGCACAGATACCTGTTGTATCTCTAAACTTACTTCCTATTTCGGTTCACATATACTCTAGGATGGGGGAAGTGATTGTTCTAATTTATAAGGAGAAAATTTAAGAACCTCCCTCTTCTAGCTTCTACTTTACTGGGTGAGTCAAGGATGCTGGGAGTCATTTTTAGTGGGAATAGAATAAATTCAGTTCTAGTGTTTAT